TGATTTCCCTGGCCACAGTGGCGTCTCGTCACGTGTGGCTAGGACTCACGGCCCTATCTAAGAAGGACCGAGAAGATCTCCTCGGAGCCCCCGTGTCCACGGAGGGGCTCTTTGGGTCGGTCTCCTCGGTCACCCAGCGCTTCAGCCGCCTAGAGGAGGAGAGAGTCCAGCTTAGCCGCATGCTACCGCTGGCTCCCCCTGGCTCCCCCTCAGGCCCCGCTACGTGCCCCCCCTCGCGTTTCCATGCAGGGGAGGGAGCGTAGTGCGACAGTGAAGCGGAGGGAGAGGCGCCGGCACGGGGGTCCCGTAGCTGCGGCGCCCTCCACCTCTACGGCCCATCCCTTGGCACCGGCATACCGGCAGTCACGGGGAAGGGCTGCCCGACCGAGGCAGGCTCCGCAACAGCAGAGAGCGCCCGGGTGGGGAGCTCCATCTTCGCGGAGTTGACTAGCGGGGGGAGGTAGCGCCTCGGTGGGGGGGGAGATTCTCTCTACCGGGGATGCAAGGGCGAATCCCTTGAGTCTGAGTGTCCTTTGTTTCCACAATACACTTGCACATGTTGATGACTGTACAAATTCCCCACTCGCCGCCCCAGCTATAGCTCCCGTTAGGGAGGAGGCTAGTGGGAGTGCGCAGGTGAGAGTGATAAACCGCAGGCAGCACTGTTATAGTGCGGTGCGGATACAGGGACATTATGGCCGACGTTTTTCTGTTAGAAAACACTCTATGCCTGAAGCTAAGACTCCAAATAATGCTGTTTACCGTAGTGATAGAGGCTGCATTATAGCAACGCCCGCACTTGTTAAAGGGCGCGTGGCGGCGCGTTCAGGGGCCTTAGTGAAACACACTACGCCTGTAAAAGCTCCGGTTAATGCTGTTTTCCATAGTGATGAAAATAGCATTATGATGGAGCGTGCGCTCACACGTGAGCGTGCGGCGGTGCGTTCAGGGTCCTCAATAGATAATCGGCCCTTTCTGTTTCGACCCCCCACGGGCAAATCTTCCCTTTACGGGGAGTTTTGCGGCAGGGCGGGTCATCAGAGAGTATCACAGCTTTATAGCTGCGGCCCCACAGCTGAGGGCTTGCCGATTAACACAATGTTATGGGGAATGGAAACTCAGCTGTGTACTGACAAGGTGGATGGACAGGACGCTGAAACGGGGCTATTCACTCCAGTTTTGCAGCGTCCCACCTCCTTTTATGGGCATGCGAGAGGTAAATCTGTCTTCCCAGGAGGAGATGGGTTTCCTCTCAGCAGAGATTCAGGCTCTGGTGCAGAAACAGGCTGTGTCTGTTGTGCAGCCTCAGCACAGAGAGAAGGGTCTTTATTCCATATATTTCCTGGTTCTCAAGAAAACAGGGGAATTCAGACCTATTCTAGATCTCCGGGGCCTGAATCGTCATATTTCCAGCAGGAAATTCCGCATGTTAACTGTGAAACAGTTACTAGGGCTTGTGCAGCCAGGCGATTGGTTCACCACCATCGACCTGAAAGACGCGTACTTTCATGTGGAAATTGCTCCAGAGCACAGAAAGTATCTGCGTTTTGCCTTTCAGGGAATAGCCTACGAATACAACAGGCTGCCGTTCGGTTATTCCCTATCCCCACGCACATTCAGCAAATGTGTGGCCACAGACAGGTGCGACAACAGCACCACAGTGGCTTATATCAACAGGCAGGGCGGAGTCCGCTCCGCCTCCTTGTTGACCACAGCGGAGGAGCTGTGGTTATGGGCCTCAGAGGTGGTGTTATCTCTGAGAGCCCTCCATGTCCCGGGACTGGAGAACAGAGGGGCCGACCTCATGTCGAGGGGCGGCCCCCTGCCAGGCGAGTGGGGGCTTCACCCGGAGGTGGTGAAGCAGATCTGGGCCCAGTTCGGGAGAGCGGAAGTGGACCTGTTCGCCAGCCGGCGCAACAGCCACTGTGCCCTGTGGTTCTCCATGGCCCTGAGCGACGACCCGCCCTTGGGGGTGGACGCGTTTGCACACGAGCCATGGCCAAGGAAGCTGCTATACGCCTTTCCACCGCTGCGTCTTATTCTCCCTCTCCTGGGGAGAGTGAGGCGAGAACGTCTGGCAGTCATTCTGGTGGCACCGGATCGCGTCAGGGCTCCGTGGTACTCAGAAATGACACAGATGAAGGTGGGCCAGCCCTGGGCGATCCCCCAGTTCTGGGGGGCGATGTCTCAAGAGGCAGGTGCAATCGGGGCGTTACCCACTCTGGGCCGTCCTCTTCAGGCTTGGCTCCTGAGAGGGACAGGCTGAGACAGGGTGGATTGTCTGACAGTGTTATTCAGTCTATCCAGGCAGCTAGAGCAGAATCCACTACAGCCTGTTACAGGCAAAGTGGCTGAGATTCCAGCGATGGTGTGAGGAGCAGAGAATAGAGCCCCTATCTTGTGAGCGAGGCTCTATTTTGTCCTTCTTACAGTTATTGGTGGACAGAGGGCTGGCGCATTCCACATTGAAGGTGTATGCAGCAGCCATCTCGTCCTGTCATGAGGGATTTGGTGGCAGGTCAGCCTTTAGTCATCCACTGATGTCGCGTTTTTACAGGGGGTTAGGAGACTGCGCCCTGTAGTGCACGTCTCCACCCCGCAGTGGGACCTGCCCCTAGTGCTCGAGGCTCTGGCCTCGGGACCATTTGAGCCTCTGGAGCTCTCCTCTCTGAAAGCACTGTCGTGGAAAACAGCTTTGCTTCTTGCCTTAACGTCAGCCAAAAGAGTGTCCGAGTTAACTGCTCTGTCGGTGCACCCGAGTTGTTTACTAATTCGGGGTGACCAGAGCGGCGTGACACTTAGACCGAACCCCTCCTTTGTGCCTGAAGACCTAAGGAGTGCGTTCAGGTCGAGGGCTATTCAGTTAGGGGGTTTTAGTCTCCCCCCCCATGGTGGGGCCAGGGAGGCTAAACTGCACCTCCTCTGCCCGGTGCATGCGCTAGCATGTTATGTGGAGCACACGGCTGCCCTTTGACACACCGAACAGCTGTTCGTGTGCTTCGGGGGCGGGGTGATCGGGAAAGCTCTGTCCAAGAAACGCCTGGCAGGCTGGCTCTGCGAGTGCATTGCACATGCCTACGGACAGGCAGGGAGAGCCTGCCCCACGGGGATTCGTGCGCACTCCACACGGGCTGTAGCTGTGTCAACAGCCTTATTCAACGGTGTGAGTGTGGAGGATATATGCACAGCGGCGTCTTGGTCGACGCCAGGCCCCTTTATAAGGTTTTATCTCTTGGACATGTCTGGCTCTTTCTCCTCGTCTGTGCTTGCTGGGGCAACACAGGATTTGTAGGGAGGGGGGGGTTGTGGGTCAGTTGGCATCTGACCCCCTCCCCGGACGTGATGCGCCTTCGCCTTTCCTGGGCCGGGATAGGAAAGGGACGCGCTGGCCTCTCGGCAGGAGGGGGGCAGCCCCCCCACATTTTTAGTCCTCTCACACTCTGCACGGGGTCAGTGCTTGGTCACAACCGGGTTAAAGGAGAAGGTGGGGCAGCAGCTGCTGACCAGAAAAGCCGGTCAGGGGCAGTAGGGTGGAATGGTGTTGGACGACAGTGCGCGTATACATCAGGGCTCCACCCACTGTACCCATAGAGTCCAGTAGAGGGCGGAGCCTGTGAGAGATATAACGGGGGTTACGTATTGTAACCCTAGTTATATAAGCACAGGCGGAGCCCTCTACTCAGGGCACTGTCTGTCCTATTCCGCTCGCTGAAGAGAGGTATAGGATGATAGTCAGGAGGCGAGGCCTCCTTTTATACGGTGTGATGCATGCGCATTCAGGTAGGCCCGCCCTAGGCCGGCTGCGTCTATAGAAGTCTCAGTGGGAGAATGCACGCAGGGTAAGGTAGTACCCATAGAGTCCAGTAGAGGGCTCCGCCTGTGCTTATATAACTAGGGTTACAACTCCTTATGGGTACTAAATGTTTGAAGTGCCGGAGCGGCGTTCTGGTGCTCTCCGTCAGAACTACACCCCTGTCATACCCCTTTCACACCAAGGCTTTTCCCGTTCTAGCTCCGTGCTAGAGCTTTTCTGGTTCGGAACCGGTTCTTCAGTTCAGCTCCCGCTCTGTTCACACCGCTCAGAGCCCGACTGGTGCTGCATCATTGCGTCATCGTTTGCGTCATGACGTAACCGTTTGCGTGCCTGGTTCGTAAAGCCAAACCGCGTGGAAACCCCTCACATCGACAACAACAACAATGACCGATTGTATTGAAGCGCTACTTGTTTTGGTTTTGCTCTGTCGAAACGAAATGGAAGAAATGGGACGACTTTACTACCAACTTTACAGTCGTTACATGCTACATTCAAAAGTTCTTTACAATCATCATCAACTTCAACGACGATTCCGTAGGAGAAAGAAGGTAAATATACGTCCTATTCGATGGCGTTAGAGCTAGCTGTTGTTAGCCTCTGCATGCGCCAAGCTCAAAATACCCAGCTTTGCAGCATTAATTACTATGGTATAACATTAAAACTGATGCCCCTGCCCTTGCCCCGCCTCTGACGTAAGCGTGACGTATGCGGTGCTTGCTTTCTAGACCGACAACTTTTTGGTGCTTGAAACAAACCGGATTCCGGAGCTTAGAGCCGGCTCCGCTGCGGTGTGAACACGAAAAAACTGTGCTTTTCAAGCTCCAGCTCCGAACCGGCCCTGGAACCGCATTGGTGTGAAAGGGGCATCAGACGAGACATATACCACGTGATGACACGTTAGGCTCGTGTTGTGTTTAAGGACCCTGACCTTGGCCAGGAAAAACAGGCACTCGCTTGTTTAATTTTTTTGTGGTCTAGATTTCTTAAATTATTTTCTTTTTTGCGTGTTTATAAATTACCTCGAGGGCCGTACCAAATGGTCTCACGGGCCGTATACGGCCCGGGGGCCGGAGGTTCCCCACCCCTGTTTTAGAGAATCTTGGAATTTTACTTGTATTGGAACGTTACATTTCTGGTTTTGGGACATGAACTGTTTTAAAACGCAGGTCCAGCTGTAACTACATACCTCTTATCGGACAGGTCTGTTTTATTGCCAACCAGCATAATGATGACATCACTTCCTCTCTCTGTTCTCACATCCTCGATCCATTTTGATGTCTGCTGGAATGAATTAACATCTGTTGGGAAAAATAAAACACAACGAGGAGTCAGATTAAAGATGCTGTTTGTACAATTCAGTAACATCAGCAAAACCATTAACATTTCATCTGGGTTTCAATATGAAATCTACTGGCACAAAAACATTCACACTTTGTTTAACATGGTTTTGCTGATTATTTATGCAAGAAGAAGATATAACCACATGTGGTGGATTGTATGAAACGTCTTACATATCATGATCACAAGTTAGAGCTGATAGTTGATACTAGATGTTTCACAGAGCACTTTGACCTTGCCACATCCGTAGTGTTTCAGGCTGGCTGACATGCAGTCTAAGGCTGCAGTCGAATTGTCAGTTTTGCTTAGGAACCTTCCTAACGGAGTAAAATGACCCGGAAGTACCTCAGTAGCCGCCATGATAAGAGCCGTTCGAATTCTAGATGATAGGAAAGGAGGTTTCAAACTTCCTTTATAACCTCCTTTAGCTTAGGAAACACTGGATCTTCCTTTACGAAAGAAAATGAGAAAATGCTGCCCCGCAATGCCTTGCGGCTGCAGCATTTAAGGCGAGGGGATATTCGGCCGTTCACGGAAACAACCGATTATGACAGAGAAATTATATCATGAAAGTTACGGTGCTTGTTAATAAGCATTTTAAAACATATGTGGTAAGTTGCCAAAGTGCTTTGTTTGGAATGTTCATCAGTATTATAATCAAAAAGAGAAATATGAACGTTAGTTTTTACTGAAATGATCAAATAAAGTCAACATTTCACAGTCTATACTGAGCTGTGTGGGGTTTGTTCAACTTTTAAAATATGTTTAATGGTGATATACACAGTGATAGATGGTAAGGACTATAGGAGGATAATAAATATATTTGTATTTATTTTAAGATCTTTTCATACAATCATACGTATTGGGATCATTTGTATTAATGAGGACCGGAGGGTGAGGGTGACAAGCATAAGTTTCACTTTCCTTTTTTGTTTCAATTGCAACTTTGGTCATGAAGAATTTATGTTTCTCTGTTTTCCACGTTCATAAATCATAAAACAACACCATCAGAGCATAGGGCAAAGTCTCTAGATGGGTTTACAGTAGTCCGCCGTTCTTATTAAACATCCATGTAGTCCGCTGTATAGAAAACTGTAGTTTCCCCACAGCATGACGTCCTCTGGCGCATCATAAATACGTTGGATAGTGAAAGTGCAGTCGGATTCTCAAAGCACCGCAGTCTCTTCTCCTAAATCCTCGCGTGCTTCAACGGAGACGCTTCCTATTCACTTTGAATGAGGTGACGTCAGGCTTTGCCGAACTGTATTGTGGTTCCGTCGCGTCGCTTTGCCTCCGTTGCTCGCTTCAAAAGTTGAGAAAAGTTCAACTTTTCAAGCTTCAACGGAAGCGTCAGCCAATCAAATCATATGCCAGTAGAAGCGCTAGCCAATCAAACCGCGTGCTTGTATGTCCGGGACGGGAGATTAATGTGATTGGTTGTTGGTCGTGCGCCAGACACGCCCAGCGGCAAGCTTCAACGCGACGCTGCCGTGTGGACGTACCGTACGTGTACTATGCCATTCTAAATGGTTTTAATAGAAGCCACTGTTACTGACACTTTCTGTGAATTGAAAATCATAACTTAACTAACAACAGTAAGTGGATATTCCCTAGCTTTCCTGTATGGATAAGCATGGTCTGCCTTCTAAAAAGTATTTTTCACTTCCCTACTTCTGTAAATATATTGAAGATAAATGGTTATTTCTTACCATGTAAAATGTGTTTTATTCCTATTTTAATCATTTTCTTCTTCAAGATGAAACCAGGAAACGTGGCATACAGAACAGATATTTATGTTTTACGAGACAAATTGCAAGACGCAATTCAATTGCAGATATACTTTATGAGATTTTAAGAAGAATAAAGGAGTAAAAGCAATAAAGTCTTATCTCAATAATCAGTGGAGCTTATTTGCTTACGGTAAATATCAAATAAATATTTGATGCTTGTGAAACCTAAACTTGGATTCCGATCAGGCATATCCATCTGTCAGGAGTGATTCAGGATTACAGTGAGCGTTTGGTCTTTACAGTGAGGGAGAGATGAACATTAACTGTGATGACAGTTCACAGGTAACAAAAGATAACTTCAGTATGATAACAGATAAATAATTGCAGGTATAACACATTTATAAGGACTTGGCGAGCAGCTAGTGGTACTTATGATATTCAAATGTTGTATACAGGCCTTGATGCATTTTTCGTTGGTCAAACTTTACAAATCTTACTTTAAATATGAATGAGTGAAATATGAATATCAATAAAATCATATATTAGTCTCTTGCTATGCTGGTGGCCAGGAGATATTGAGTATTGAGTAATGAAAAACGTTTAATCCTCTTACATTTGCACAGTAGATAAGGGATATGTAGTGCGGGGTCAGCTGACAAGTTTACACTAAAGCAAAGCTTACTTAGATCCCTGATTAGTGTTAGTACACCCTAAATAAAATGCTGTACTGCTCTAGACCCCAAAAATATATTTTTTCTCTCTTTAACTATGATTATTTAATATTATTTAAATGTATTACATGGCTTACTTGAATTCTCGATTCTGATTGGCAATTTGGACATTTAGCGGACTCCTGCTTAACTGACTGTTGCTAAGGAGACTCTGATCAGGGGACTGTGCAGTCATATCAAGTCTGGTCAATTTAACGTCAGCCATGGCCAAACAAATCACATTAGTTATATATTTGTGGAGAGCAGGGAACTTTGGATTCCTTATGGCTGAACTGTCCCCAGTAAAGTAAAGAAAAAGAGAAGAACAAGAAAACTAAAGACGACAAGAGACAGCTGGAGGACATAGAAATCAGCTGAAGAAGAAGAAGACTTATTTATTTCCCTAATTGTTTTATACCCTATGTATGCCATCATGGGTGGGGCGGAGGGGGGATTTATTAGTCCAACATTTGTATTCACTAGAGTAATTGTATTAACAAAAATCCTGACATATGTTTAAAGGGACTGACTTGTGATGTCGTAGACCACCACGGCCACGGTGGAGTCCCGGATGTAGCTGGGGATGAGGCTCCTGAAGCGCTCCTGCCCCGCCGTGTCCCACAGCTGCAGCCTCACCTGGGGTTCACAGAGAGAAAGCTGAGGAGGCTGAGATTATTCAGAAAGTCAGAGAGCCCGGGAACTGTAGGCTCCCCCACAAACAACACAGCGAAACTCAGTAAGATTTACACTAGGACATCATTTATATGGGAGGACACTTTATGCCACTTCTAAGGTCGTACTGCTGTATGAAAGACATGCAGGCAGATAGCACTCCTCTACATTCACAGGCAGGACAGATGACATGCTGGTATCAGTACTGCTGCTTATCATGCATTCTTCTAGTGCAGTTCTACTGTAGGACACATTACAGACATTTACATTCTTAGTCATGATATCATACAGCTGGAACTGGGCTTCTTACCGTTCGATCTTCCAAGTACATGGTTTTCGACAGGAAGTCAATTCCAATTGTGGCCTAGTTTAGGAAAAGAAGATATCCATGGATCAACACCACCTCCCAAAGCAAAGAACACAGTATTTACTGAGCACCTGAATGATGCAAGAGGAACAGCAGTGGACAGATTACAGGGTTATCAATGGTTTATGCTAATGCTCAATCCTGCGTCATGTCATCTCACATTAAATATTATGTATAACAGCAATCTGATCATTCCCTTTGTGTGTTGCGAGGCAGACGACACTGTGTTCCTTCAACAAAGGATGTTTGTATTCGAGCTGAGCCCTTAGCTCTGCTGCCTGCATCAGATCATCAGCTGCTCTCCCTTCGCCAAATCAAAACCCAGAAATCAATGTTTACGCGCAGATCTGTGAGTGTTTGTGTAACTGAATTATTTGAAGCCAAAACCAGACCAGTTTTGGCCATTTGACAATAAACTTAGAACTCACGATCACAAAGATGGCTTCTTTTCAAAATAAACTCCAGGCTCATAAAACGTTCATGTCATTATTATGAAATTCAGTGTTAGCAATAGCTATTATTCAATTTGCAAAGTGTGTTAGAACTCTCCCTAACATCATCTCCAGTGTGCCCTGCAGTGTCCGGGCGTTTTAGCCCCTGTCACATGCAGCCTCGTTTTTCATTGCAATACAGAACTCCTGTATCTTTATGTTACAGTTCAATACTTTATAATATCGATATATACATTTTTTACAATCGCCAGGATTCTAGCCAGTGCACAGTTTATTTTAGAGGACACATGAGGAATACAATTATTTTGATCCTGATGGCTGATTCCTCTGAGGACCACCAGAAATCTGATATTCAAACAATAATAATAAAATAATGCTTTTACTTTGTATGTTAATGTACTTTGTCTTTTCCTTCTTTTTTTTAAGAAAACATTATTTTCAAGCCAGCTAGTGGGATTTGGGGATAAATATGTTTAAGGACGATAAGTTTGAGTATGAAAATAGTTTGGAATGACAGCATGTTCAGGCAGATGAGTCCAGATGTCTGTGTCACAGACACATTTATTATGAAACTTTTTTTATGTACCAAGATAAATGCTGATTGATTTGTCACCATCTGTGATGTTACTCATCAAGTAAGGCGCCGTGCTGGTGGCTGCCTGTTGCATGCAGCTCCCGGTGTTTTATTGTTCTTTGTCTTTTTGTTTACTTTTATTCTCTTAGTTGTACTTTTTTCTTTGGATATTTATTTTGTTTTGCAGCGAACTATGGCCACGTTTTACTTCGAACGTTTTCTGGTCATTCTTCTGCTACTTTTTTCACTTTTTGTGTCGGAGAGCCATGCTCAGAGGAGTGATGGCATTGTTTACACGCGTGAGCAGCTGATTGCGCTGTGCCGACCCGTGCTGCTGCCCGGAGCCAGGCATGACATCCCGGAGGAGCTTCGGAGGCTCAAGCGTGGCTGCAGAGCTGGGGCCAAGCTGAGGATGAAGAAGAAGATGAGGTACAAACCCTGTGTACCGGCCATCATAATGGGTAACGTGAGGTCTTTGGGGAATAAGATGGACGAGCTCCGCGTGCTGACGAAGACGCAGTGGGAATACCGTGAGTGTAGCATCATGTGTTTTACCGAGACTTGGTTGCACTCGCTCATCCCGGATAATAACACGGCTCTCCCCGGCTTCACGAGTGTTCGGGCGGACAGGGACGTTATTCTGAGCGGTAAAAAGAAAGGAGGAGGGATTGCACTGTATGTGAACGAACGATGGTGTAATCCTGGACATGTTACTGTGAAGGAGCGTTTCTGTAGCCCGGACATTGAACTGCTAGCTGTGGGATTACGTCCATTTTATCTACCTAGAGAACTTTATTCTGTCATCGTAGTTGCTGTCTATATTCCACCGAACGCGGACGCGGAGGTGGCTGGTGACGTCATTCACTCTTCTGTGGCCAAACTCCAAACTCTTCACCCAAATGCATTCATAACAATAACTGGGGATTTTAACCGTGCAAAACTGGACAAATCTCTGCCTACATTCACTCAGTATGTGAAATGCCCCACCAGGGGAAATAATACTCTGGATCTTCTATATGCAAATACCAAGAATGCATATTGTGCCACTGCCCTCCCCCCCCTGGGCAGATCTGACCACAACCTCGTCTTTTTGGCTCCTAAATATGTCCCACTGGTGCAGAGGCAGCCTGTATCCACCAGGACTGTGAGGAAATGGACTCCAGGGGCTAATGAGGCTCTACAGGACTGCTTCGAGACCACTGACTGGGACGTGCTTTGTGTGCCACATGGAGAGGACATCAATAATATGACTGACTGCATCACAGAATACATCAACTTCTGTGAACAAACAATATTACCGGCTAAAACTGTCAACTGTTTCCCCAATAATAAACCCTGGATTACTAGTGACCTGAAAACTCTTTTAAATAAGAAAAAGGAAGCTTATAAGTCTGGGGACAAATCAATGCTGAAGAGTGTCCAGCATCAACTGAGAGACAATTTGAGGAGGGGCAGAGATTCGTACAGGAAGAAGCTGGAGACTAAGCTCCAGCTGAACAATAGCAGGGATGTCTGGGCTGGGATGAAGGCTATCACTGGCTTCAAAGGGAGAGACAGACTGACTGTGGGCACCCTGGAGAGGGCCAACGAGCTGAACACCTTCTTCAATAGGTTTAGCTCTCCGCCCGCTGCTGTCTCCTCCACTTCCTCTTCTCACCTCACCTCCTCCTCTCAGCCTGGCGTCAACATCCCCCCTCTGCTCACCACCTACACTTCACACCTCTCCTCCACCACCCAGCCTGGCTTCTGCACCCCCCCTCTGCTCACATTGCCGCTGACCCCCCCCCCCCCCTCTGCTCATCTTGCCTCAGACCCCCCCCCCCCTCTATCCCCCCCTTCCATCTAGCCCCCCCCCCCGCTTCACTGTGAGCACAGGACAGGTCCAGAGTCAGATGGAAAAACTCCACCAAGGCAAGGCTGCTGGCCCTGATGGTATCAGCCCCAGGGTCCTGAGGACCTGTGCACGCCAGCTGGCTCCTGTTCTCCAGTATATATTCAACCTGAGCCTGCACTTGGAGACCATCCCGGTGCTGTGGAAGACATCATGCGTTGTTCCGGTCCCTAAAAAGACAACTCCTTCTGGGCTCAATGACTATCGCCCTGTAGCACTCACATCTCATGTGATGAAGGTGCTTGAGAGACTGGTCTTGGCCCATCTCAGACCGCAGGTGAGATCATTCCTTGACCCTCTGCAATTTGCCTACCAGCCTCACCTGGGGGTGGACGATGCCATTATTTACCTGCTGGAGCGTGCTCACTCATACCTGAATGGATCGGGTTGCACTGTGAGAATCACCTTTTTTGATTTCTCCAGTGCATTCAACACGATCCAGCCTCGGCTACTGAGTGACAAGCTGCAGGCTATGAGGGTAAACTCGTCCACCATCTCCTGGATTACCAACTACCTCACGGACAGACCACAGTACGTCCGGCTGGGCAGTGTGCTGTCTGATGTGGTGGTTGGTAGTATTGGAGCCCCACAGGGGACTGTGCTGTCTCCTTTCCTGTTCACCTTATACACCTCTGACTTTCTATACAACTCAGAGTCATGCCACCTGCAGAAGTTTTCGGATGACTCTGCAGTGGTAGGGTGTATAAGGGATGGACGGGAGGAGGAGTACAGAGCGCTGGTGGGTGATTTTGTTGAGTGGACTGGAAGAAATCATCTGCTTTTGAATGTGGCCAAGACCAGAGAGATGGTCATTGATTTCAGGAGGAAGAGGACATCTCCTCCTCTGCCCCTGTGCATTCTGGGAGAGGATGTGGCAGTTGTGGAGGTCTACAAGTACCTGGGAGTGCACTTAGACAATGGGCTGAACTGGAGGATCAACACTGACGCTGTGTACAAGAAGGGGATGAGCAGACTCTATTTTCTGAGGAAGCTGAGATCCTTCAACGTATGCAGTAAGATGCTGGAGATCTTCTATCAGTCTGTTGTGGCTAGTGCACTCTTCTTTGCTGCGGTCTGCTGGGGGGGCAGCATCAGAGCCGGTGACACCTGCAGGATCAATAAACTGATCAGGAAAGCTGGGTCAGTCATCGGCATCAAGCTGGAACCCTTTGAAGCTGTGGTGGAGAGGAGGACACTGAACAGGCTGTTGTCCATCATGGATAACCCCACCCATCCTCTCCACCTACAGCTGGACAGTCAACGGAGCTCCTTCTCCAACAGACTGCTGCAGCTCCCCTGTCTCAAGGACAGATACTGGAAAACATTCCTGCCCACTGCAATAACACTGTACAACAAATCACCTCTGGCTGGAAGAGAACTCTCTGCTCCATAGTTTCTCTAGAAATAAAACCACCTTGTACATTTTACTCACACATAATCTGTTTCATATTTAATACTCCATAATTCCATATATTTTGAATATATATATATTTGTATATTTGTATATATATATATATATATATATATATATATAATATCTGTATGTATATTTTCTATTTTGTATTTTGACATGTATATTTTATATTTTATTTTATATTTTATTTTATTTTATTTCTATTCTTGTATATTTTGTTTTATTGTAAAATGCCTTTTATGCTGCTGTAACAAAAACAATTTCCCAATTTGGGATCAATAAAGTACGATCTATCTATCTATCTAGGTGTATCTGTGTGTTTGTCTATGGTAGGCAGTCCCACTTTGACAGGACTGGGCATCAGCAGCTTGATCACAGACTTTACACTCAGTCACATCCATCACCGCTAGGCCTCTAAGAATAACCTTAATTATAGTCAGAAATAATGATTTGGTTCATGTTTAAACCGCAACAGTCCATAACAATTCAAACTTAAACAAATAAAAACCTACACATTTTTTAAAATAGATGATTCGGTAACACTTTACAATAAGACTACCCTTATAAAGGATTCATAAAGGGTTTATAATTAGGTTATCAATTAGGTTGTAAACACTTTATTTATCATTAAGAACCATTTATAAACCAGTTCTAACATAGATCATC